TTCTTAATTTTATAAGCAGTCAGGATACATATTAGAATTTGAAAAACCATAAATACAAATACACATAACCTCTAAAGATCTTTACTTCAAAATACATTTGCAGAGTAGCACAAGAAGCCCAAGCACAGAGAAACAAAGGGTAGATTCATCATTACACACACAAGAATAAGTCACTAAACAAAAGCTGTACTACATTTTTCTCTTTATCTGTGCTACAATTGACACTGGGTATTTATTGTGACATTACAGGAAACACATACTTCTGATTTTACATTGTTGACTAGGGATCCACAGATTTCAGTCATTCTCTCTGAAAAGTTCACAGAACTGTCTGAGCCCATAACTACGAGTTTCATGGAAGACTGACATGTACCAAGGCAACTACTATTTCCTTACAAATAGGCATGGTGCAATCACTAGATAACTAGGATACATGATCACTAATTTCCGTCAGAACTTTTCAAAAAGGCAAAAATGAAATTTCTGCAGCATAAGCAAACAGGCTGTTGAGCTTAAGGTTTGCTAGGCATACTTGAGACTATGATGCGTTGCCCACCTTGGATAGAAATCTTACAAAGCAAAAAAATTTTGCACACTATTTTATCTGAGTTGAACTGACTGGAATATCAAAAAGCCAAATAATCTTCCTTTATTTTAAGTCCATTATACCAGTACAGCTTTTTCTAAGCAAGTGTCAAGGTTCTGAGATAACTGTAACATGCTTGTCAACTGATCACAGTCTACTGCTGAGACAGTGAATGTCATCACATCAGGTGCTATAGTAGTTCAATAAACAGCTAATTCTGTTCTACTTCTTGTTCATATATAAACTAACATTTTAATTTTCTTCATAAATCTATTATTTGTGAACTACACTTAAAAAGAATGAGCTAGAGGATAATTACTAATGGCACATTCAGCGCTGATATTTCTCCGAGTTACGAAAGCCTCCTGCATTAAACTATGAAACAGACCTCTTATACAGCTTTTAAAAGTTATTAACCTTTAGTTAAGTGTTCCAGTTAAGAGTATGTTTAATGATTAATTAATATATTCAGCACTCAGGAAAAACAAGTTAACACAGAACACAGGTAGCCTTTGTGTCTCCCTAGGCAGAAAGTACTTCAGAAATTTAGCACACTCTAAAAGGAAATAAAGATTTGGTTTTGAACGTGGGCACTGCAGACATGAAAGAAGGCGCAAAACCCTTTCCTTGAGAAATGCTGTAAAATGTTCTGTAAATTACCCTTATATGGCACTTCTGAATGTCTCATGGAAGAGCAGTGCAGCAGGCTCAGTTTTCCTTTAGAATCAACGGTAATTTCTAGCTGGCAATTCAGTTTGCAATTTAAAAAGTTAGCATAACACCAAAATGAGACCAAGTCTAATATCAAATCTAATAATATTGTCCATAACAGACACAGTCAAGGTGAAGCTGCATGCAAATCCCCAACAGCATTTACTACTATACATGCATGCATCAATTTTCTTCTACTTAATCCCTTCTTGCAGTCCAGAAAGCATACTGGAACACATAAGAAACGTTTGTAAGTTCAAAGATTTTGGAACATGTGTGTCTATTTATAAACTCACCTAGGTATGTTAGCCCTTCTTCTCCCATGATCAAGAATTTCTAAGTTTGTATTTTTCATTTCTTTTTCAGAGAAATATGACTATACCAAAACTGCCATTTATAACAGAAAAAGGATACAAAACATATGTGGCAAAATAAGCCACTAATACTTGAACATAAAATGTGTCCTTATATTTGGACAGGACTTTTCCCAAGGCCTTTGCATCATCCATATCTCTAGGAACCTTTATACATTCTCTTTCTTCTCTGGAAAAAAAAAAGCAGGAATGGTGGTAAATATAATCCAACAGTATAGTAACATTACTTACCAAATATATAATTAGATACACTACACCACTGAACTACAACCTCAGCAAACAAACCACATGATTATTGTTGTGATAATGTTCTCAGATGAACACTTAATATTTACAGCTTGGTTTGTATTAGAAAATCCTCCATTTTAGATATTTGCAAACCGTATTTTTTTATTTGTTACAACAATCAGCTTAATTTCTAGGGTTTTGGTTTTTTTTTCTTACCGAGTACTGATCAAAAAGAAATAATTACTCAAACCAAACCTTGGCAACTGAACAGCAGTCAACATTTCAGTCAAAACAACTGTAGCTGCCTCAGCACTAGGGTCATGACATTTGAAGTGCAGCAAGAGCAACAGAGCTTCACCTCACAAACAAACAAAGCTTTAAGAGCAAAATCTCATGTCACACCTTAATCTGGTGCAACCCTGGGCAGCCCAGTTGAGTGTCCTCTCTTCCTCTGTATCAGACTTAGTGATTGGACTGTTGCAAACTGAACTTGTTGAGCAAGTTAATCAGACAGAAAATTAACTACTAAAAGAAAAAAAGAAAATTGTCAGACCAGCAGGCTTCCATCTTGTCAAACTATCTGCCTTCCCAACATGACTACTAGATGCAACAAAAAGGAAAAAAGAGCTTAGCTATGAAGGAAGAAGGATGTCCCCTTTCGATGACAGCCTGCAGTTACACCAGTGCACAAGGAATTTTAAAATAGACCTAGCCCTAACCAAGCATGTTTTGGCTCTCAACTGAAGAAGGTTAAGAACATAGTGAGTTACCATTGCTAATGTGACAGGGGGTACCTTTACAAAACATGGTATCTCAACTGTCCAACAGAAACCCTAGGTTAAGTACAACTCTGTTTACACAGATCCTACCGGTTAGTATTTCAATATTCAGCTTTGTATCCTGACATTCTAGGTTATACACTCAAATTCCCTTTTAAAAATGTAACGTTATATCTATTATTAACTCATGTCAGTTTAAAAATCACTTAACCCCATGTAGGCTCCTCTACAATTTGATGCTGAATGAAAAGCAAATAAATTAATCTCTCCTGACATACTTACTCACTAAGTTGTGGAAAATTTTTATACACCAGGAACATAAGGAAAGCAGCTGATAAGAAGACAGACACTAAAATAAGAAGTGATGTCCGAGCTGATCCACCTTCTGCCTGAGCTTTCCCTGAGGTTAAACAAAAACAAATGAAGTTAAAAACAAAACGACAACAACAAAAAAAACCCCCTCACATCTTACAACAGATTTCAAACATATACTTCAAGGAAATGTTAAGGTGAGCTCTCTGTGGACATAATCTTCCCACCAACGCTTTCAATAACATAAACATACTGCTCACATTCCCTGAAAGCTTTCAAACAAATCTGAAGTTCTTACACTAGCAAACATCTCACAGAAGTCAACTTCTATGATCCTTAATAATTTAAGCCTCAATTAATAAATAAGTTTGTAAAGAGAAAAATAGAGCAAAACAAAGTAAGCCTTTTTGCCAGAAATCATCTGCCAGTCTAGTTAACTGGAGATTTAACTTGAAGTTAAACCTTCAGTATGTACAATGCAACTTTGAAACAGGCTCATTAACAGATTTTTATATTTTTTACTCCGAAGAAAGAACACCAGGCACAGCCACTAGCCAAGCAGGTGAGACACACTTATCAGGAGAAAACATGTAAACACACACACGCACCAGCCTGGGATATAAAGATCACAGTTCTCAGACTTGGGAATTACACATATTTCATAAAAGAGACTTCTCTTGGATATGTCTATAGAAGATTTTATTAGCCTTTAAATTCTTGTGTAAAGGAAGTAATGGAAGTACAATAAGTGATACAATTACATTTTAGGCCTCTTCTATACTTTAGATTTTTACCAATATAACCGTATATATGCAATACACTTTAAAACACTCTGTCCTCAGGCACTGCTAGGCTAGCACAACTTTGCAGGAAGCGTCAGTCTTGGTCACCTGAAGAATACAAAAAATGCCAAGGCTGTATTTTCATTCGTAGATGCCGGTGGCATGACTACAATGCCAATGCTCAACATTCAAGCGGGTCACACTGCCACCTCACTGTTGTGAAACACAGCGAAAGGATGACGAAACCCACAGATGAAACAGAGCCGGCTGGACGAGCTGGCAATTTTACTCGCTTTAACGTTTTTCACTTTGAGGTCAGCGTGATCCCACGGGCGTGCACTGACTCTGCTAAGGCCGAAGGGGCAGAAAGAAGCACCCATGTAGCAGTTACAACCATGAATACCTCACCGGTGGTTATTTTAGTAACAACTTCTCCAGAGAGAAAAGAAAATAAGACAAAAGAACAACTTAGAGGACGAAAAAGGAAAATACACCGAGCTGCGCTTTCTGCCACTTTCTGTACTACGGTCGTTCCGGTACTAGAGTAACACACACGCGAAGCCACGCGTGTTTCCTCTCTGCCTCATT